GTGTTTAATATACTATTAGTTTTTTTTTTAAATATGTAGTAAGTGCAATAAAATACCTTCTGTTTCTGCCAAAAATCAAAGTGTATAACCTCCTTTGCTTTCTGTGCTGATACCTTGTTTCCCTGAAAATAAGACCTACCCCGAAAATAAGAACTAGTACTATTTTTGGGGAATTGCTAAAATATAAGACCTAGTTGTGACCATTCCCAGGGCCGGTGGTGGCATAAGGAGGAACTTGAAGAGCCACGGGAGAGGCAGGAGAGAATCAGCGGTGCCAGCAAAGCCAGCGCTAGAGGAAGCGAGGCGGCACCGGAGGGAGCAGAGCCGCATAAGCCGATGCCTCCTCTATAGTGCCGGCTCCTGTCAAAGACGGAGTGATAACAAATGCACTCCGCCTGTTAGGAGTCGATAATGAAAGTGCTCTAAGCTCATTCTGGCCAGCGATTGGTTACCAAATTGCTCTTGGAAAGCTACGGCACCCCTGATCACCCTATTTTTGTACATGATACATGTAGACTTTTCTACATGAATAAGTGATGATTGTTGAACATTAAAAAAATACATTAAAAAATAGACCTACCCCGAAAATAAGACCCAGTGTGTTTTTTATTGAGCCAAAAAAAAAATATATAAGACGGTGTCTTATTTTTGGGGAAACACGGTAGTCATCGGTTAGCATTGTTCCCAGCTTTGCGTTTGTCCTACCAAACCATAGCTCAGGAAGACTACATTTCATCTCTGTCCCAGCCATGTTCTACCAGCCCATCGTTGCCATTGACTTGGAAAAGTTAAACCTCTTCAGTGCACTGAGGGAAAATTTCTACGTATGATGTGAAGGTGGAAACGCTATTTTTTTTTTTTTTTAAAGGCCCATTATAAATGAGCTTTAAGATGGTTTCTGGAAGTTTTTGGGCTATCTAAGGTGAATAGAGCATTTACAATAGTTGTCCTCGTATTTGGATCACCTTTCTTGCCTCCTACTGCAATTGTTTCCATAGAGAATTTCTCCCCATAGATTGCACCTGTATGCTGGGTGAAAATGGCTGCTGGAACCCTCTTGCGTTGCTGCCCTTTGTGAACCAGGGGGCATTCTAGTAATGTGGCCTGAAAGGAGTCTTGGTTTACCCACAGGGGTGTATTAATACTGCAGAGCCAGGTAACCAATGCTCCCTAAAATTACAGCTGGCTCCTACATTTTCAGGTTTTACCAAGATACCAATAGTGCTGGCTACTAAAATGACCTACTGGATACAGTACTGGATTCTGACTTGTATATATTATCTATCTTATACTTTTATATACTATTATACTTATATATTTATCTGTCCACCGTTCTTGTACGGTTTATTAATTACAGGTATTTATATAGCGCTGACAATTTACGCAGCACTTGACATAGTTGCACATTCAAATCGGTTTACTACCCTCAAGGAGCTTACAAGGTCTATCTCACAGGTATACATAGAGGGCCAACTTAGAGAGGAGCTAATTAACCTCCTAGCATGTCTTTGGAGTGTGGGAGGAAACCAGAGTACCCGGAGGAAACCCTCCAGCACAGGGAGAACATGCAAACTCCTTGCAGATAGTGACCCAGCCTGGATTCGAACCGGGGACCCCCAGTGCTGCAAGGCAGAAGCGCTAACCACTACGCCACTGTGCTGCCCCGCGGTTACCCCGAGAAACATGTAGGGCTGTAAAAGATGGTGGTAGGTCTTCCAACAAAGTGGCCAGAATGATGGATGATTGGGAGTAAGGTTTCACGGCCTGGCACCGTTAGTATATTGCCATTTCCCAATCTGTTATGCCAGTAAAAAAAAAGGTAAAGCCAGGAATTGCAGCATGTGTGCAGTGTACAAAGTTCGTCTTGGCCTATTGTAAAGTTTACTCCTGTTGTCTTGGGTACAAAGTGGAAACTTAATTTGACTTGAATTACTTTTTATAGTGTGATAATTATAGATTACACTTTGTCCCGCTGCGGATAACTGTAATTATAATTTATTTACGCAAAGCCCTTCATTGACATGCCAAACTAGTGTCTAGCTGACTTATGTCAAGTCCAACGCAGGCTTCAACTTAACTTGAGGGGTGCTGCTTTGTCCATTGGACTGGAGGGGGCTGCTGCTCCTTTCGTGGGATTGGAGGGGGCTGCTGCTCCTTTCGTGGGATTGGAGGGGGCTGCTGCTCCTTTCGTGGGATTTACACAGACCACATGGGTCAATACCTTGGCGTTGGTCATATGACCAGACATCAGAGAAATGCCTCTCAAGGTTACTTTACAACAAAAATTACCCGGGATTTTGAGTTCCCTCAGTTGACAGGCTTTACATGGACCGTAACATGCTTGGAGTTGCGGTTCCTCCAAAGCTGAAAGGACACGCCAACACTGGAAGCCTGCTAGTTATTGGGCTGAGATCCAGCTGTAGACATCTGTAGGGATTCCAGTTAATGGCAGGTGGGAGGCGGAGGGGGGCATTGCTGTCAGATTGCTAGCGTTGGGAATTTAAGACTTTGAGGAATGTCTGGATCCTGGCACAGTGCTGCACGACCCCAGCTGAGTGGATATTGTCCAGTCTCGGCCTGTGAGAAGAAACAGGCCCCCTTACCTGTTCTTTAACCATCTCCGCTTACCCCCCCATGCTCAGATTCCCGGACCCCACACTCCCTTCCTGTTATTGCATTTTCAGTAAATGACAGAATTGGTACTTTACAGGTTTGCACATGCAATGTTTTCCTAATCACATGGACAGAATGTAAAAGTTCCCACACGTGTACAAACCTTACGATGGCCGTTATCTTTGTTATAGTTATAGCTAGGTGTGGACTTCTGTTCTCTCTCGTAATCTATTTTCGGCTGCTGAGGGCTTGCCGCCGTAAGCTTTCTGCAGTGCCTGATAAACTTCTACGTCCATATAACCGGTCGGGTGTTTCTCCAAGAACAGCGGGTGAAACCTGGAACTGCGCTTAAACTGGCACCTCGCCGCCGCAAGTGATGCCCGAGCCCTACACTTGCTGTGCTTGGGCTGTATTCAGCCACCCTTATGGGCTTTGTAATGCAGTTGCGGTTGCAAATGGGCCCTTTATAAACACAATCCACATAGGAAAGAAAGGGGGTTATACCCAAAATGGGTTTTCATGCAGGAAAACGGACAAAAACTTTACAAAAACTATAGGAGGAGGCTGTAAGTACGCAAATATTTAATGTGGTACATTTTTGTTCCCATCTATGGAAGTGAAGTAACCGTGCCACTCCTGTGTATTGGGAAATGGGTATCCTGGCATACTCATTACTGACTATCAACCCGTGAGCTCACTTTTATTACAGATCTTGAATTTTTTTGGCCTTCTTGAGTCATGATGTCATATCCAGTCATATAGGGTAAAGGTGACTGCTGATTAATCCAACAGTCATTCTCTAATTGTATAACTTTGTATGTATGTGACTAACCTAGATGTCTCTCCTACTAATCATTATCCATCTTTAGCACTGGATGTGTGTCCCTATATTTCCTGCCCGGTACCTAACAACTTACTACGCTACTGTGCTTGCCACCTTCCTCAGTGCCATCTGCCAGTAACCATTCTTCAAGAGCAAAGACACGACTGCAAAGTGCCTGTGCCACCCCTAACAACCACAGAATATAGTTGTCAGCCTCTCTCGTGCGGCCGCCCTCCATGCCTCTCTCGTGCGGCCCCCCTCCATGCCTCTCTCGTGCGGCCCCCCTCCATGCCTCTCTCGTGCGGCCCCCCTCCATGCCTCTCTCGTGCGGCCCCCCTCCATGCCTCTCTCGTGCGGCCCCCCTCCATGCCTCTCTCGTGCGGCCCCCCTCCATGCCTCTCTCGTGCGGCCCCCCTCCATGCCTCTCTCGTGCGGCCCCCCTCCATGCCTCTCTCGTGCGGCCCCCCTCCATGCCTCTCTCGTGCGGCCCCCCTCCATGCCTCTCTCGTGCGGCCCCCCTCCATGCCTCTCTCGTGCGGCCCCCCTCCATGCCTCTCTCGTGCGGCCCCCCTCCATGCCTCTCTCGTGCGGCCCCCCTCCATGCCTCTCTCGTGCGGCCCCCCTCCATGCCTCTCTCGTGCGGCCCCCCTCCATGCCTCTCTCGTGCGGCCCCCCTCCATGCCTCTCTCGTGCGGCCCCCCTCCATGCCTCTCTCGTGCGGCCCCCCTCCATGCCTCTCTCGTGCGGCCCCCCTCCATGCCTCTCTCGTGCGGCCCCCCTCCATGCCTCTCTCGTGCGGCCCCCCTCCATGCCTCTCTCGTGCGGCCCCCCTCCATGCCTCTCTCGTGCGGCCCCCCTCCATGCCTCTCTCGTGCGGCCCCCCTCCATGCCTCTCTCGTGCGGCCCCCCTCCATGCCTCTCTCGTGCGGCCCCCCTCCATGCCTCTCTCGTGCGGCCCCCCTCCATGCCTCTCTCGTGCGGCCCCCCTCCATGCCTCTCTCGTGCGGCCGCCCTCCATGCCTCTCTCTCTTCCTTCCTCACGTTACATATTTCATTGTTCAGTATAACTTTCAAGCTGAAAAATTAGCTTTTTACTAACCTCTTTCACACCACCGCCTAAGCCATAAAGCAAAACAAGTGCTGCAAAACCAGCTTTGCGTTGCTGTTAGTGTAAATCCATTCAGTTATGTTTCGGTAGCTGATGTTGGAGTTTGCTTGAGACATTCACTGTGAGGCGGCTGCTTTCACCTTCAAGCACAGATTTGTAACCAGTGCCAGCTTCATACATCATTTATAATATGGATTGTGTGGTTTTTAAGTAAAACTTGTGATGGTTATTGCTGCCAGGAGTAATAGTTTGAGATGGGCTGTCCATTTTTACTCTCAAGCTTACTAATATCTTTTCGAGGAGCCCTGTGGAGAGATTTCATGAGCCAGTTGCCAAGTCGATGGTGTTCAGGTCATCCGTGTTAATTCTTTTTATGAATTTTTATATTGAATTAATTTATTTCCTTGCAGTCCTAAATAACAAATCCTAATATTTCTCCTTTCTCTCATTTTGCAGAGGAGGCGGACTACAGCGCCTATGGCACAGATACTTTAACCAAAAAGAAGACCGTCCTTCAGACGGTGCTGCGGCCTGACGTCGTCAAAAAGAAGCCGCACCTGGTCATTGGCATGCCGAGTGACTTCAGGCCGGTTTCGTCTATCATCGATGTCGACATCCTTCCCGAAACCCACCGCAGGGTGCGCCTCTACAAACACGGCATGGACAAGCCCCTCGGGTTCTACATTCGGGATGGTTCCAGCGTTCGGGTGACGCCACATGGCCTGGAGAAAGTGCCTGGTATTTTTATCTCTAGACTGGTTCCCGGGGGCCTGGCCCAGAGCACTGGATTGCTTGCTGTTAATGATGAGGTCTTGGAGGTCAATGGCATCGAAGTGTCTGGGAAGACCCTGGACCAAGTGACCGACATGATGATCGCCAACAGTCACAACCTCATCATAACAGTCAGGCCGGCCAACCAGCGAAACAACGTGGTACGGAACAGCCGTAACTCCGGCAGCTCTGGACAGTCCACCGACAGCAGCACGAGCATGTACAGCAACGCGCAGCCGCAGCAATTCATCCAGAACTACCACCCTGAAGAAGTGGATAGCGACGAGGAGGACATTATCATCGAGGAATCCGGCGAGCCGCAGCAGATCCCTAAGGCCGCCCCGTCCTCAGAGAGCCTGGATTCCCTCACGCATCATGATTCCTATCACGAATCGCCGCAAAACGGATTTATACCACCTTACACCATGCACTTATCTGCCAGCAGAGGCAGCCTGGACCTCATTTCCAATAACCACGAGACTCAGATCTTAGAGGAAGATGGAACCGTAATCACACTGTGAACGGCGGTCGTCAAACCGCCACTTGCACATATATTTTTTTTCGTTACCTTACGATCTGTGTGACATTCTACATGCAAAATCTTTTTTTTTTTTTAAAGAAAATATATTGTATAGTTTATTCCCTCCACTGTAATCTTATTCCAAGCTTACTATTCTATTTTTGTGATATGAAGGAAGACAACGAAAAAACTAAATTTAAGTGTGTGTTTTACATTCCATAGACGAACAAAAGGAAGATCTGTTTTTGTGCCGGGTTCTGGCTATTTATCGACACTTTAAAAAAGTGCAAATTGTCAGATGCAGCGACCATGATGTGTTCTGAGAATGTAGCTCTTTGTATTTTTTTAGCCAATAACCACTTTATTTCCATTTGATTTGGCATGGGGGTCGCTGTGGGGGGCGGACCGCGAGTCACTGAAGCCAATTCTAATAGCACAGCTACTGTAATGAGCCAATAATTGTAAATTATAATTATATCCGATTTTTATGATTTAACCCGCGTCGGCGGGACAGATTGTAAATTTTTAGCATTCCTGAAATTATTTAACTGCAACCTAAAAATTTGCATCACTTCTTTTTTTTTTTTACAAATGGAGAGCACCACTAATCATTGTATGCAAAAAGGGCCACCTAGCATAGCCCAATAATTGTTTAAAATTTATAAAAACGATATAAACCACCCTACCAAAAACATTTGATCATGTCTCTATGAGGCATGCATGCACAGATATGGATCCAAATCCAGAGCACATATGGACTGGGGGAAGACCAAATCTCAGCTTGAATATAGACTTGGGTGGTGCTGTTGTGTATGACAGGGTACGGGAACATAAGTTATGAAGGAGCGGTACTATCCAGGGTGTTCAACAGCTCCTTGTTTTTAAAGCAAAATGTTTTAACACTGAGATTTTTCGTAAGTATATGTAAAGCCTAAAACTGTTTTCAGTAGGGTAGGAAGTAGATGGTACCCTTGTAAGTTGGTGTTCCACCAGATATTACTCGCTTCCTGTCCCAGAGACACATCGGGAAGTAAGGCGATCTCTCCAAAACAAGGGGGTATCCCCTCTCGTTACCAGAGCAGGCTTACCCATTGGATGATTTGACCTCTTCTTGTGACTACTCAAATGTTTTTTTTCCCCCAATTCGTTTTTGTACCAGAGCCATTGGTCATAAGGACAGGTTAGCGAAAAAAAACACCTCCAGTGTAAACTGCAATCGGATCAGAGATTCTAACCCTACTGCACACCATCAAAGCTAAAGATTTGGCTTTACATATACTTTAAGGCAGAGGTGGACAAATGTAAAATACGGGAGCCAGCTGGGTTTTTGTTTGAGCCATTCACAACTAGAGAAACTAAAAACTTGGGCACCAGCTGTGATTTTTAAGGAGCCTTGGCTTCCTGGCTCCCGGGATTTGTCGTAAGTATATGTAAAGCCAAAACTTTGTTCAGTAGGGTAGGGAGTAGATGGTACCCCTGTAAGTTTGTGTGCCATCAGATATTACTCACTTCCTGTCCCAGAGACGCATCGGGGAAGTAAGGCGATCTCTCCAAAACAAGGTGGTATCCCCTCTTGTTACCAGAACAGGCATTCCCATTGGATGATTTGACCTCTTCCTGTAACAACTCAAATGTTTTGTTGTTTTTTTTTCCACATCACTTTTTGTACCAGAGCCATTGGTCATCAGGACAGGTAGCGAAATAAAATCTCTCCAGTGCAAACTGCAATGGTAACGAGAGATACTAACCCTACTGTACACCATCAAAGCTAAAGTTTTGGCTTTACATATACTTTAAGGAAGGAGGTGGACAAATTAATATAAAATCCGGGAGCCAGCGGGGTTTTGTTTCAGCCATTGACAACTAGAGAACCTCAAAACTTGTGCACCAGCTGTGATTTTTAAGGAGCCTTGGCTTACTGGCTCCCGGGATTTGTCCAGCTCTTAAGTATGAAGAAATAACTAAAAATAGAGAAATGTTTGCATTGAGGGATTCCCTGGAATAAATGTCATGTTTGCAGTTACTTGATTGGAGGTTTTTATTTTTTGTTCTTTATAGTCTCCTAGCAAATGCTGAATATGCTCATCACGCGTGGGCCGCTGGTAGATCTACATAAGAGGCATTCTATTGTACGTCTCTCTGTAGCCAGCACCTCTAAATTGTCTTTTTGGATTCATAGTCTAGAACAGACGCTGTTCAGTGCTAATTGCACCCACACAAGCACTTGGTCAACGAGCACATTTTCCTATTTCCCCTGTGAGGAGCGCTGCTGTAATGGTGTAAGGGCAGGCTTGCTATGAGCAGTGCAAGGGAAACTGAGATTTTTCTTATACACTATACATGCAAAAGTTTTTGAACGCTTGGCTGTCACACCTATGTCAACTTTGTGGACATCTTTCCAAAACCATTTGGCATTGGTATGGAGTTGACACCCCTCAGGGAAGACCCAAGGTTTTGGTGGGTGGCTGTGGCCATTTGTAAGGTCAGCCTTGTTGGAAGACCTTTTCACTAAATTTTGGATCTGGGTAGGAATTTGCACCCATTCAACATTTGAGGTCAGATACTTATGTTGGATGAGAAGACCTGGCTCACAATCCGGTTTCAAATTCATCCCAAAGGTATTCAGTAGTGTTGAGGTCAGGTACTGATGGATGATGAGCCCTGGGTTGTAATGGTGCTCAGTAGGGTTGAGGTCAGGGCTCTGTGCAGGACACTCGGGTTCCTCCACACCAAACTGGTCACACCATGTATTTATAGAGCTGGCTTTGCACACCGGGAACAGAAAAGGGTCTTCCCCCAAACTGGTCACACCATGTCTTTATGGAGCTGGCTTTGTACACAGGGGACAGTCATGGTGGAACAGAAAAGGGCCTTCCCCAAACTGTGACCACAAGGTTTGAAGAGCACAGTTGTGTACAATGTCTTTGCATGACGTAGTATTAACAGACCCTTCACTGGAAACACACTGAACTCATTTGGAGGGATGTCCGCCATTAGGTGTGATGGTCATCGGTCAGATTCTTAGCAATAGTGTATTTTGCTCGCAAGAACTTGTATATTTCTGCCCGTTTGTGCAACTTTGGGCCCATATCACATGGATTTTGTCACTGGTGGCACAATCAAATGTAATCACTACAGAAACGAGTTGTCTTGTTGCTGTTCCTTTTGCTAGCGAATCCTGATGGACACGACTTCCATTATGGGTACAAGATTGTATGTTTTTTTTTTTTTAACCTGTATAATAATTTTAGGTCAACTTTTTCTTCTGAACACTTTGTTGTAATATGTGTGAATCTTATGCTGCTCAACCAGCCTTTGCTTGCTTATCGCCCCAGAGTTGTAGAGGAACTACAAGTTTCAGCTTGCACTGCGTGCCCCTCAACAGCTCCACGGTTCAAGTTTGCAAAGGCCGGGGTTTTTTTTTTTGGTTTTTAATCGAATCTTACCGGGGTTCTCATTGAGACTGAAGAGAGCTTGGTATAAAATTTATTTGGGGTGACTGTTAAGCTCCATCAATAATTTTTAATTAAAGGGCTTTTGTTTTACCCCCCAAAATTTTCTTGGAACATCCTGTCATGTCCGCCCGTCTTGGGGTGCCAGCTTTGTGTGCATGAAATGTGCTATTTAATAACAATGTATCCCTAAACATTGTGTATCCCGCTCATTACCAATGGCTTTTCTGTTTTGGGAATTGGATATATAAATGCCATCTTTGTTAAAACTCCGCTTTGTTCTAGAGATGTCACATGCTACCTCCTGAAAGCTAAGTTGTATACAGTCTTCTCTTTCTATGTATGGGGGTTAAACACTGGAATTATCTTCAAGGTTATAGGCGGACCAGTCAGGCAATCTTGGTGCTGGTAATGCAGACTTGTTATGAAGCAGTAAGGTACGGGGGTTCTGGATGGCTTGGTGAGGACGCTGCTCTTTTGTCTAAGGCAGGGGTGGTCAACTCTGGCCTTCCAGACTTACAACCCAAATCCCAACGTGCCTCCGGAGGTCATGGCTGTAACTGTCAGTCTTGCAATTCCGCATGGGACTTGTAGTTCCACAACGGCTAGAGGACCAGAGTTGCCCACCCCTGTTCTAAGGGGTAGCTGCCTGCAGGACTTAGGATAAATGTTGCGGTTAGGGCTACTTCACACCAGCCACAGTGCGTTCCGGTCCGATTCTGGCCGGCTCACTTTGTTGTGGGGCTATAGGGGGGTGTGGTGGTGCATTGAACTCATTGGCACCGTAGTCAAGGCCTCCGGCCGCAATGCAGTTGGCAGCACGGGAACGCAAGCCACATCAATGCCTGCGGTCCGGTCAGAAAAAATGCTGCAAGCGCTATTTTATTCTGACCGGAACGCACTCACTGATGTGCCACATGTTACCGTGCGGCCGATAACATTGTGGCCTGGGGGTGTGGCTGCGGTGCCATTCACTTCAATGTGCCGCCCCACAGCAGAAGTAAGCCGGCCGCTGTATGATACAGTGCGTTTAAGCCAGAATCGGGCTGGAACGCACTGGTTTGTGTGAACTAGCCCTTAAAGCCCAAATACGGGCTGTTTACCCATAAAGGGAGGCTGTTTCCCTCCACCCCTCCTAGGTGCACCACATGGTTAAAACAGGGGAAGGCAACCACCTCATTGCGGCTGTGGTGGAACGACCAATGCCATCATGCATCTGCTTCTGGGCGTTTGGCTGTGGCTGCTAGTCTTGCAACACCTCATGGCAGCAGTGGGCAACTCTGTTGTGGAACTACAACTCACATGAGACATTGCAAGACTCAGACTTGCAGAACCATGTTGGGATTTGTAGTTAAAGCACAGCTGGGGGGCCGGCGTTTGCCTGCCCCGGTCTAAGGTAGATTGTCAGGAGTAGGGGAGTATGCGTCGTAGTGTAGCCCACACCAGCCAATCAACTGTCAATGTACAGGGTTCTCTATGGATGAAAATTCACTATTGGTTGGCGATCATCACATGATGGCCGTCATCTATGACCTCACCTGAGGAGGATGTCCTGGCCGCTTATGTGCTTCTGCAGAGTCATTCATTCATTGTGGATTTTGCAATCCCATTCTATAAATGTCTCCCAAGCAGCAGATAAGATTATA